TTTTTTTTTGTGGTGTTGTGTATAGCGAACATGACAACACACTTGGTTTACCATTCACACACACAAACGCACACACAGAGCCGTGTTTTTTTTTTTTGGTTAGGCGTCAGACTACCAGAGTGGCCCGGGGTCACTTGCCCGGCCGACACAAAAAACAATTATTTTAATTTTATTTTTTTTTCTTAACTTTCGTGCAGAATTTAGATGTGACCCTGAGGCAAAAGTTGTTCAGTTTATTTTCTGCATAACATAGTTGTTTTTTTCGGATTTTTTTTTTTTTTTTTTTTTTTCGCTGGGACCTTCCCCGGTCCTTGCAAGGGCTGGGCACCCGGGACCCGGGCGGCCCGGCTGGTAGTCTAGGTTAGTTGTTGTTGTTGGGTTTTTTTTTTTTTTTTTTTTTTTTTTTTTTCGGTGGTGTTGTGTATAGCGAACATGACAACCCATACAACAGACAAAATATAACTGAAGATCTGAGGAAAAATGAACAGGAGTATACCTCCCCTTTCCTCCTTTACTCTGCCTCCTTTCATAGCGTGTAAGTGGGCCGTGATGGCACATTGGGATGTGGGCAACTCGCACTCGACCACATTCAATGTGTCGAGCCTTCTATGTGAGAGGCACAGTAAAAGGAGAGGCTCAGCTTGAAGAACAAATTAAAGGGGTACCGGAAAGCAAGCCAAAGTAAACTGTCAAGAAAGGGATATAACAGATCGTATTATGCTTCATGTTTCTTGCCAAGCTGCCGTAGAGGTAAGACTGTTTCGTTGTTGGACTGGCTCATCTCAAGTGCGCTTCATTGTCTGCAATAGATGTGAAGCTGCTTCATTTTTTGACCCACTCATCTGGATGGAATAGGGGCTGTTGCGGTCACAATCTACAACACACACACAAACACACACACACTCACACACACACACACACACACACACACACACACACACACACACAAGGTGCAGGCATCACTGCAGGTTTGCAGGACTAGCAGCTGGTGGAACAGGGGCTGTTGCGGTCATAATCCGCAACACACACAAATACAAGGTGCAGCCACCACTGCAGAATTCGCCCGACTAGCAGCCGCTACGGGCAACTGATCAATCTCTGCTTTATGCAACTGACCCCCTCACTTCTGCAACTGACTCGGGGCCCTCACATTTGCAACTGACCCCCTCGCTTCTGCAACTGACCCCCTCACATTTGCAACTGACCCCCTCATTTCTGCAACTGACCCCGTAACTTCTGCAGCTGACCCCCTCACCTCCGATTCACTTCACCGCTACTGTTCCCCCACTGCAACTGACAATGACCCACCCTCCTCTGATCCTTGAAGGAATCCCCATTGCAATTGTTACTCCGCACTGTCCGCAGTACTCTCCTCTGGCTGTGAATGCTGAGAACTTGAACCCTTTGTAGTTTGTCTCCCGAGTCCCCACACCTTCCTCTTCTTCCTCTCTCTCGTCCCTCCCTCGTCTCATGCAATAATTCTACCTTCCACTGGCTTCCAGGCTCCCACTATGTGAATGACCTTGGTTTGTGTATGTGAGGGACCCTCTGTTTTGTTTTTTGCAGGTGCCCAGGTTCAATGCATCATAGCATATGAATGAGCATCATTAAGAGAACAGACAACATATATTAAGTGAAAGTGTGATCATTAAGAGAACCGACAAGTTCGGCGACAACATTATGATATGCGTACGTCCAATTGTGCTGCTGAATACCGAACAGGACTGTCCCTTCCCTTTTAATCTGCCAGGCCCTCTCTTGTGTCTCGTACCGAGTGGGGGCTGTCAAGGCACAATGTCATCATGATGGGGATGTGAGCAGCTAATTATCTACCTCAACTGCGATCATGTCGTCTTCCTTGCATATTATGCGATATGACGCCGAAATATATCGCGTAAACCTCTACTACCTTTCCCCGCTTGAAAAACAAATATGTGGCTCCTTTACGGGCGCAACTTCCGGGGCCGTGTCGCCATGCATAAATTTCATCATCGGCCTTCAAGTTTGCTGCGTCGCTGGCCTCCGAAAGTCCCACTGCGGCGCCCGCATTGTCGCATTTCCGGCCTCCGAAAGTCAAGTCATGGTGAGGTACCCTCCGCCGATGTATGTGTGAGGCACTGGTGGTCTAAGGTTTAAGACTAATAATTCACTCAAATTCTTGCTCGAGTTTGTCTCTTTCCTTGTTCATCTAATATTGCTTTTGGGGCTTTTTTTGCCCACTTTGTCTGACAAACTGAGTGTATTAATTCTTGTTGCGCTTGATAGGTACTGTCGTCTTCGGCTACAAGGTTGGCATTCGATTCCTAACAGCACTGCCCCAGCCGGCAGGAAGCGCACTACTTGGAAGATCCGAAGAAGCGAAGAAAAAGATGGAGGAGGCAAGCCTGGATGGTTTAGACAAAATTACAGTCCTTGACTTCCGCACTGCCTTTCAAGGAAGTCTATTTGAGGACTACCACGTTTTACCGCGCCATGTAGCAACTCTCAAAACCAAGAAACTCTTTGACGACTGCTAGAGACTCCTTAAATTCTTCTCTCAGCCCAATATCGTTGATCTCCTCGACAAGAACATCGTCCCTGCGGAGACCACAGAAGACGAATATGAGTTCGTCAAGCTGGCTACTGTCTTCTTGCAAGAGTTTGGAAAAGACGTTATTGAAAAGAAGAAGAGCGGCAAGCGGTGCAGAGAGTCCATGTCGGGACATGAACCTTCAGAGTCCGAAGTAGCTCCTCTAGTGGGGCAGATGATGAAAGATGTTGACCTCAACGAGTTTCGTAAGGGCTTCATGGACTTCCTCTTATTTCGCTGTACTTCGCAGCTTAAGAATTACTTCATTCGTTGGGGAATGGATGTGCTGCAGGAAAGCGATGACCGGAATATTGCCAGACGATTGTATGACTATGGAAGGTGGGCATGGAATCACTCTGGTGACCCCTACTGCCTTGGGTCTGATCTACACCAGATCGATTTCGATCTCATTGGATCGGATGGTCAGCTTGTCCCTCTGCGAATGTTAATGTGGGAAGGAGATATGATGCGCGACATATCTTTTTGTGCCGAGGTCAAGGATAGAGAGACGGGAGTCCTGGTTGCTGAGGCCACTAATAAACTGGTAGGCGGGGGTAGCAGCAGGAAGAGGGCGATCGTTTGCGTTAAGTCGGAGCAGTGTATGGAGCAAAGATACAAGCCGCATGGGAACATCCCGATGCAGCTGAAACAACTGTCTCTTTGGGGTGATGAGGAGGATGACCTGTATGTTACGGACGATGATTTGTATGATCCTGGACTGTTCTCGGAGCTCACTCCCGAACAGTTCGATTCGTTCGAAGAACTGCCGGGATTCGCAAATCGTATACTCCAGTCGTTCCGAGTTTGAACGCTTGGTTCCCGTTGCCACTAAGCTGGGATTAGTTTGCGTGCAAGCTTCTTGGAGCTTGGGATCCGCTGAGTGTATGGGTGATGACTTTGAGCTTCAGTTGTCGTCGCTGAAGGATGCCACAAAGTTGCGATGCCAGCAGTTTATGCGCGTTTTCAAGGGGACAATTTGGGGGAAACTACCCGAGGACTTGGTCATGCGAATTGTTCGGTGTCTGCCGCAGAGATATATATTTCCTGGGAGGAATCGACATCTAGACTGGAACTAGCCAGAGCTGCCAGACACTGCGAAGGCAACAACCAGTATAAGAAGATAACGATGCACCTGACACTATTTGACAATGTTCCTTTCCTTGAGATGTATTTGTGATGCAAGACAGACCACTGCCTGCACAGTCTGCACCCATGATAGGTACACCCTTCCCTTGAACAGGTTTGGCACGTTTTACCCATGCCACTCGCACAGGACTGTGATCAGCACATTTTTGCGATCATGGGTTTTCAGGTATAACTGCGATCATTGCGTCCAAAGATGATGGTTATGTGTGTTTGTGTTTCCCATGCTTTGATGAACGTTCTCTACCTTCGCGTACCGGATCTGGGATTGCTCATGCATTGAGAACATCTGGCTTCCACTGCGACATGCAGTGTGTGTGTGTGTGTGTGTGTGTGTGTGAGAGAGAGAGAGAGAGAGAGAGAGAGAGAGAGAGAGAGAGAGAGAGAGAGAGAGAGAGAGAGAGA